TGTGCTTTGTGGACTTGGAGAAGGCTTTCGACCGGGTCCCTCGGGGGGTCTTGTGGGGGGTGCTGCGGGAGTATGGGGTGCCGGACCCGTTACTGTTCCGGTCTCTGTACGACTGCAGTAGGAGCTGTGTCCGCATTCTCGGCAATAAGTCAGACACGTTCCCGGTGGGTGTTGGCCTCCGCCAGGGCTGCCCTTTGTCACCGGTCCTGTTCGTGATTTTCATGGACAGGATATCTAGGCGCAGTCTGGGGGCGGAGAACGTCAGTCTCGGGGGTCTCGGGATCGCTTCTCTGCTATTTGCAGATGATGTGGTCCTGTTAGCCTCCTCGGATCGTGACCTCCAGCATTCACTGGGGCGGTTTGCAGCCGAGTGCGAAGCGGCGGGGATGAGAGTTAGCACCTCCAAATCTGAGACCATGGTTCTCTGCCGGAAACCGGTGGATTGCTCCCTCCAGGTGGGGACGGAGTGCCTACCTCAAGCGAAGGAGTTCAAGTATCTTGGGGTCTTGTTCACGAGTGAGGGTAAGATGGAGCGGGAGATCGACAGACGGATCGGTGCAGCTGCAGCAGTAAAGCAGGCGCTGCACTGGACCGTCTTGGTGAAGAGGGAGCTGAGCCGGAAGGCAAAGCTCTCAATTTACCACTCGGTCTACGTTCCTACCCTCACCTATGGTCACGAACTCTGGGTCGTGACCGAAAGGACAAGGTCGCGGCTACAAGCGGCCGAAATGAGTTTCCTCCGTAGGGTGGCCGGGCTCAGCCTTAGAGATAGGGTAAGGAGCTCGGTCATCAGGAGGGAGCTTGGAGTAGAGCCGCTACTCCTTCGCGTCGAAAGGAGTCAGCTGAGGTGGTTCGGGCATCTAATTAGGATGCCTCCTGGACGCCTCCCACTGGAGGTTTTCCAGGCACGTCCAACTGGGAAGAGACCCCGGGGAAGACCCAGAACACGCTGGAGAGATTACATCTCCCAGCTGGCCTGGGAACGCCTCGGGATCCCCCAGAATGAGCTGGAACATGTTGCCGGTGAGAGGGAGGTCTGGGTCGGCCTGCTTGACCTGCTGCCACCGCGACCCGACCCCGGATAAGCGGTGGAAAATGGATGGATGGAAGTCAAGCCTGATTTTGCTTTAGAAATAAAATAATGATCATAGGAACCTCCACAGTGAGGCATACAGTTAATTAATAACACTGGTATCAGATCGGTACTCGGTACCGGCCGATACACAAAACCCAGGTTTCATTATCGGTATAGGGACGGAAAAAGTCAGATCCATGTATCTGTATATATTTATTTGTATATTTCATGTATATATTTATTACTGTGTTTATTTATACATTTATGTGTTTAAATATGTACATTTTAAAACTTAGGTATCATATACTGTGTATATACATAAAATTGTGAATCAATTAATATAGTGGTTGATCTGCTGTTCAGAGGCAGTTTACAGAATAACAGCGGCAGTGAAT